GGGGGGAGGGAGAGGGGATGGGGGGGGGAGGGGGGATGGGTGGGGAGGGGGGGGATGGGTAGTGAGGTGGGGGGGGGGGGAGGGGGGGGAGGGGAGGGGGGGGGATGGGGGGGGGGGAGGGGGTGATGGGTGGTGAGGGGGGGGATGGGTAGAGAGGGGGGGAGGGGGGAGGGGGAAGGGTGGAGGGGGGGGGGGATTGGGGGGTAGAGGAGGGGGGGGGGGGGGAGAGGAGGGGGGATGGGAGGTCGAGGGGGGGGGAGGGGGGGGGAGGGGGAGGGGGGGGGTGGGTGGGAGGGGGGGGGATGGGGGGGGAGGGGGGGTGGGATGGGTGGAGAGGAGGGGGGATGGTGGGGGGGGAGGGGGTGAGGGGGAGGGGGGGGGGGGAGGGAGGGGGGTGGGAGGGGATAGGGGGGCGGGATGGGTGGGAGGGGGGGGGATGGGGGATGGAGGGGGGGGGGGGGAGGAGGGGGGATGGGGGGGGGGGGGGGGGGAAGGTGGGGGAGGGGGGGGAGGGGGGGGGGGGAGGAGGGGGGGGGGGGGGGGGGGGGGTAGTGGGGGGGAGGGGGGGGGGGGGGGAGGGGGGGGGGGGGGGGATGGGGGGAGGAGGGGAGGTGGGGGGGGGGGGGGGGGTGGGGGGGGGGGGGGGGGGGGGGTGGGGGAGGGGGGAGGGGGGGTGGGGGGGGGATGGGGGGAGGGGGGGGGGGGTAGAGAGGAGGGGGAGGGGGGGGGGGGGGGGATGGGGGAGGGGAGGGGGGAGGAGGGGGGAATGGGGGGGGGAAGTGGGGGGGGGGGGGGGGGGGGGGGGGGGATGGGGGGAGGGAGGGGGTGATGGGGGGGAGGGGGGGGGATGGGGGGGGGGGGGGGGATGGGGGAGATGGTGGGGGGAGGGTTGGGGTGATGGGGGGGGGGGGGGGGGGGGGGGGGGAGGGGGGGGGGGGGGGGGGGGGGGGAGGAGGGGGGAAAGGAGGGGGATTGGGAGGGGGGGGGGGGGGATAGGAAGGGAAGGAGAGGGTAGAGTGGAGTGGGGGAGGGGGGATGGGGGGGGAGGGGGGGTAGGGATGGAGGGAGGGGGGGAAGGGTGGAGAGCGAGGGGGGGATGGGGGGGGAGGGCGGGAAAGGGGGAATGAGGGGGGGGTGGGGGGATGGATGGAGAGGAGAGGGATGGGTGGAGATGGAGGGGGGAGAGGAGGGGGGATGGGCGGGGGGGGGGGAAGAGTGGAGTAGGAGGGGGGATGGGGGGGAGAAAGAGGGGGGGGGGGGGGGGGGAGAGGAGGGGGGTGATGGGTGGAGATGAGGGGGGAGGTGGAGAGGAGGGGGGATGGGGGGTCTGGTCGGATAGTGGGGGTGGCCGTATTACAATAGGCGGGGCCTGTTGTAAAGTGGGCGGGGCACACATATCTGGATTGGTCGCTTCACTCTCCCGCTCCGGGGGGCGGAGTCTCATTTAGAGGCGGGGACGAGGTACTTAGGAAGGGGCGGGGCCTGCGCTGTGAGGAGAGGATGGGGCCCCGGAGTCCCGGTGTGAGGTGGAGGACCCGGAAGGGAATATTAATGAGGTGATAGTAGGGGGGCCCTTATGGAGATAGGAAAACCATTGGGGAAGGGTAATATATGAGGGTCACTATGGGGGAGGGGTAATATATGGGGGTCACTAGGGGGGAGGGGTAAACTGAAGAGGGAGTTGCGGTCCCTGTGTCAGGGTATGGGTGGGAGGTCCCTGTGTCAGTGTTGGGTGGGCGGTCTCTGTGTCAGTGGTGGGCGGTGTCAGTCAGTGGTGGGCGGGGTCCCTGTGTCAGTGGTGGGGGGGTCTCTGTGTCAGTGGTGGTGCTTGGGTCCCTGTGTCAGGGATTGGTGGGCGGTCTCTGTGTCAGTGGTGGGCGGGTCCTGTGTCAGTGGTGGGCGGGTCCCTGTGTCAGGGATTGGTGGGCGGTCCCTGTGTCAGTGGTGGCGGTCCCTGTGTCAGTGGTGGGAGGTCCCTGTGTCAGTGGTGGGCGGGTCTCTGTGTCAGGGATTGGTGGAGGTCCCTGTGTCAGGGATTGGTGGGCGGTTTCTGTGTCAGGGATTGGTGGGCGGTCCCTGTGTTAGTGGTGGGCTCGGTCCCTGTGTTCAGGGATTGGTGGGAGGTCCCTGTGTCAGTGGGTGGGCTGGTCCCTGTGTCAGGGATGGGTGGGAGGTCCCTGTGTCAGTGGTGGGCGGTCCCTGTGTCAGTGGTGGGCGGGTCCCTGTGTCAGGGATGGGTGGGTGTATGGTCGGGGGTCGGTGTGATGAGAATCGGTGGTTCTTCCTCCCAGGATGAAGCCGCGTTCTCTGGATATGGAGGATCTGGTGAGGAGCCTCCCGGGAGGTCGGAGATCACATGACATGCAGGTATTTCCCCTCCACACATGGAGGTCACAAGGTCTTGTTGGGGTCCACAGAGGATGGCTGGCAAAATATTAATCACAGAGCAGAGGGGGGGGGTGGAGTCTCAGTGCAGGGAGGTGGGGTCACAAGGCAGAGAGGTGAGGGCAGTGAGGTGGAGTCACAGAACAGAGGGGTGGGGGCAGATGGATGGGGTTACAGGGCAGAGGGGTGGGGTCACAGAACAGAGGGGTGAGGTCAGACGGGGTGGGGGTAGAGGGATGAGGTCACAGGGCAGAGGGGTGTGGTTACAGGGCAGGGAGGTGGAGTCACAGGGCAGAGAGGTGGAGTCACAGGGCAGAGAGATGAGGGTTAGAGAGGTGGGTCAGAGGGCAGAGAGGTGGAGTCACAGAACAAAGGGGTGGGGGCAGAGGGATGAGGTCACAGGGCAGAGGGGTGTGGTCACAGGGCAGAGGGTTGGGGGCACGGGCAGAGCGGTGTGGTCACAGGGCAGAAGGGTTGGGGCAGAGGGATGAGGTCACAGGGCAGAGAGGTGGAGTCACAGAACAGAGGGATGAGGTCACAGGGCAGAGAGGTGGAGTCACAGAACAGAGGGATGAGGTCACAGGGCGGATAGGTGGAGTCACAGAACAGAGGGGTGGGGGCAGAGGGATGAGGTCACAGGGCAGAGGGGTGGGGGCACAGGGATGAGGTCACAGCAGAGGGGTGTGGTCACAGGGCAGATGGGTTGGGGGCAGAGGGATGAGGTCACAGGGCAGAGAGGGTGGAGTCATAGGGCAGAGATGACAGGTTCATAGGGCAGAAAGGTGGGGTCACATATGGAGCAGAGGTTATGGCGTTTGGCATCCTCTGGATTCAGAGTCTTCCTCTTCATAGCCCCCTTGGCTCCCTCTCCTCCAGTCACAGAAGACGTTGTGGCCAGGTTCCCCCCTCCCCTAATATATAATGTCCTCAGAGGCTCCTCTACCCTTTCCCTTGCAGATTCCACTTCCGGTGGCCTTGGAAGGCTGCCCCAGTCTCGGTCTCCATCTCTGATTCAGAGGTCAGGTCACTTCAGTCTCCCCTCTGAGATTTGGGTCTTCTCAGACACACTGGAGACTGTTCCAGCCCTCAGCATTGAGGTTTCTACTCCTCAGCATCTGCAGGATCAGCCTTCTGGCATCAGTCTCAGGTCCTTCAGAGGTCCTACAGCTTCAGCGACATTTGAAGCATTCCTCTATAGGGACTAGAGGCACCCTGAAGGGTCCTGGGCCCCATCAGTGTTGGAACGGTTCCCCTTTGGACAGGTTTCTACACCCAGGAAAAGCACTAGGCCATTAGTGGGTGTTCTTCCCTCTAAGGATTATAGTGGCTAGCAGCTAGAGTTCCTCCTTAATATCCATTGATTGCTGCCCTTCATCCTGTGCTGGCTGTAACCGTGATCTGTCAGACCGAGGTGGAATGGGTTGAGTCCCTCAAAGGAGATCTCTCTCCAATGTGGAGGCCTTCCATGGAGCAGAGGTCTGGAGGCCTTCCATGGAGAAGAGGTCTGGAGGCCTTCATGAAGCAGATGTCTGGAGGCCTTCCATGGAGCAGAGGTCTGGAGGCCTTCCATGGAGCAGAGGTCTGGAGGCCTTCCATGGAGCAGAGGTCTGGATGCCTTCCATGGAGCAGAGGTCTGGAGGCCTTCCATGGAGCAGAGGTCTGGAGGCCTTCCATGAAGCAGATGTCTGGAGGCCTTCCATGGAGCAGAGGTCTGGAGGCCTTCCATGGAGCAGAGGTCTGGAGGCCTTCCATGGAGCAAAGGTCTGGATGCCTTCCATGGAGCAGAGGTCTGGAGGCCTTCCATGGAGCAGATGTCTGGAGGCCTTCCATGGAGCAGAGGTCTGGAGGCCTTCCATGGAGCAGATGTCTGGATGCCTTCCATGGAGCAGAGGTCTGGAGGCCTACACTTCAGTTGTGATGGCGGAAAGCCTCTACGCTGGTGTCCGGTATGGTACTGTTGTCCATAGAGATGGGCGGAGCTCTATGGTATCCTTCCTGAAAGTGTCCTAGTCTTAGAGGGACGACGTCTCCTGTGACCCCACCTTGATGTCATCATGGAGGACATCACTGGAGGTCAGAGCATTCTCCAGCCTTAGAGTAGGAGCGTAAGGAAATGTCGGGCTGGGTGCCATCCTTCACCTGAGGTAGGTACACTCCGACCCGCTAAGTCAGGCTCCCCAGCATCGCTGGGAAACAGGAAACCGGCCACGCCTCCAGAGAAGTCCTTCCACGAAGGTGCACTCCCACTTCTCTAAGTTCAGGGATGGTTACTATTCCTAGTGGTTCTGTGGTGGTTGCCTATCAAGCATCTGGGTGCAGAGAGGACCGACCCCTTTAAAATTTACAAGCTAATCATCATTCTCCGGACCACCAGTGGTACCTGATACCCCATTAGTCTCATCATCAAACTCCGGACCACCAGTGGTACCTGATACCCATTAGTGCCATCATCCATCTCTGGACCACCAGTGGTACCTGATACCCATTAGTGCCATCATCCATCTCTGGACCACCAGTGGTACCTGATACCCATTAGTGCCATCATCCCTCTCTGGACCACCAGTGGTACCTGATACCCATTAGTGTCATCATCCCTCTCCGGACACCAGTGGTAC